ATTGTTCCATTACAGCACGAGATCGGCCCAGACCTCCATCCCTCGACCTGGTTGGGATGTCAGAGAGGACCACAGGACTGGAACATCACGGAAACAGTGGCGAGCTGTAAAAACTGATAATCAAAGCCACGCACAAGAGGTGTTTTGGTTGCAGATAAAAATAGAGTCACCATACACGTAACGCTTTGACGGGGATGAGTGATTGATGCTCAAAGATGTTGCCATGACAGACTGGCAGGCAGGAGAAAAACACTGAGGCAGAATGATTGGCTTCTCCTCTTTGATGTTTCTGTCTGACTTACTTGTGATGGCTGGTTACATCTTCAAAACCGTTCTGCGTTGACAGTTGTAATGACCCCAAACATTTCATCTGTCATATCTGAACAGCGCTCTGACAGCATCTAGTGAAAAGAGTATACTTCTACGCCCAAACTTCACGCCATATTCTCATATGTATCCATAAGGAAATAAGTTATTAATTTACATTTGTCACAGGAACTACGTTTGATGTAATTACCCAAAGTAATTTTAAAATCCAAGTTTTCAAACTCTGAAAATGTCAAAGCTACCAAACCCAGACAAACAATGTTACAAATATTCAAGTGGAAGCAGAACGTTTTCATGTTTGCGTTAAAATAAATCACGGCATGGTTTATTTTTTTAAAAACTTCATGCAAGTGCAAGTGAAAAAGATATGGTGTAGATATACAACAGTAACTGGCATGTAAAGTTCGAAAAACTTGAAAGCTCCATGTTATTTTAGAGTAGCTCAAACTGAATTGTTCCAGCACGTTAAAAAATTTTAAATTACCGTAGTGCTCTGGCTCAGTGGTATCCAAACAGCACATTTTATCTCCAATGCCAGTTCAGTCAATAAACGTTCAAAGCCTGTATTTGTATGCATGTTTGTATTTTGTTGTGTATATGTGAAAACAGCAAACATCCCAGTTCCATCCAGTCTGCAGAGTGGGAAGCGGTTTCCCATGGTTCTGCTGGAATGCCGCTTTCATGTGGAAACAGTCTCTGGGTCCCTTTAGCCCCTCTGTTGTGACAGAGGATAATGACATTCACAACATCTGCCATTTGTTAGCCCTGTTTGGTGTAACTGATCTCCTTTTAATCCGTGGACTTCCAACGTGTGTGTAGCTCTGCAGCTGGAACGAAGCAGATGGATCCCTCTCTGGGGCTGCAGCGGGCTGGCCGGGGGCTGGCATGTATCCTGCCCTTCCCCTCCTCAGGTCCGAGACACAGAGCACTAGGACACACTGCCTCTGACCACTATAATCATTACCACTACTTGCTTTTAATGAATTTAAAAATGTTTACCCGTTACATTCATCCTAAATCACTCTCTGGACAAGGTTTGCTAAATGCTTATAATGTGAGTGTAAAATATGTTTGACCTTGTTCCTCCACGAAAACTAAAATCCCTCAATTTTAAGCTACTATGCGTAGGAATTTTAAATGTCTAACTTTGGCACCTTCAGGTGGTAGTATCAAACACACCACTACACCCACTCTGATTCAGGGAAAGAGTGCACGAATTAATACTTTTATGTTAACAATAAAATGTGTATTGTGAAAAGGATAGCTTGTTCTAATCCTTTTACTAACACGTTTGCTGTATCAATTTTAAAGGTGAAATAATAATAATAATAATAATACATTTTAGTTAATGGCACTTCAGGTCACTCACATCATTTATGATCAGTAATAAAAAACATGCAATAAATAAACAACGCATCAATAAATAACAAAACAGCAATAATAAAATTTCAAAATAAAAATCCATATTGCAGTATACAATAAGATGCAGAAGATGCTGTTAAAGTGAGTAGAAGCAGATTTGAATTCTGTGACAGAGTCGAGTATGTGGATGTGAGGGGTAAGTTTGGGTGCAGCATAGGAGAAATGAAAAACTTGGATGGGATAGAATATTTATAATACATAAATGAAAGTCACTGATTTTGTGGACAAGAAAAGTGTTCTCTTTGTGTGTTGTATTTAGTACCTAAAAGGTACGACTTTTGTTCCAGTACTCCCATTTGGGTTGCAGGAAGGTTTTCAGGGAACTATTTCTCGGCCCTTGAATTCCATTGATAACAATGTGTTGGCCTTGTAATTGAAGCAGTATCAGCTAGTAATTGTACCAGTATGTAAAGGGTGTACTATGGGACTTGTATTTCTTGACACAAATCAGGAGGTAATTTGTTGGGGATAGGTTTACATAGATAGGAGGCTCAAACATAAACAGTGTCAGAATCCCCTCTTCATCTGAAGGCAGGAATGGCTGAAATGGTGGATTCAGTCAATCTTCATTCCTTTCAAACCTTCTGCCCCCATCCTTTACCCTCTTCATAAAACCTGGAATGTGCTTCAAAGAATGCACACTATCTTTCCTCCATGAATAAAACATCTGTCATTCATCAGCCGGTACAATATGTGCCGATTTAACAGAGCATAACAGCTCTGCAATGCAGGGAAGCTCCAGACTGTACAGTGTCCTACAGAGTCCAACCATGAACAAGTGTCATCTGTCTCCCTTTGGAGCTATATCTCGTTTATTTAAACAAGATTCACGTCACGTTAACGTCCAACTGAAATGAAATAGCATGTTTTTGTCTGCTCTGTAAAAAACCTGTCTTGTGTTCTCCTCAGGAATCATCATTTTTTAAATATTTTTTGGTTCCATGATGGCGCCCCCTAGTTTTGCATTAATGTGATTTAATTTACTGTATTTTATTAAATGTAGATGAACACGCTTATTTTGAAATAGCTAATCAAATCTTGTATTCTATTTTAGTTTACTTATGTCACTAAATGTGTCTTACTTTTATTGTCATTCTATTAGGTGTCCATTCACTGGTGTTAGCATTTACTCCTACACTTTACATTTCCAACTCTTTTTTATTCTGATGTCGTTATTTTTGAGCAGTCTCTGGCACAATCATTTCCTGCAGGATTAATTAATGTCAACAGTCTATCACAGACAAAGCAGACTGCCACACAACACAAGAGTCACAGACTCTGAACAACAACACACATTAGCTTTCCTGCTAAAGTCTCATTTTCCATCTAACCTACAAACACAACCACTTGTCTCATCCTGCCACTTGGCTTGGTGAATGAGCGGCCAAAAAAACATTCACCAGGTGCAGGCTTGATCACTAATTAGCTGCTCATTTGCTGCACATAACAGCATGTAAACGTACCCGTAAATATCCAACCCGTTTTCATCCCATGGCGTCAAATATGAACGATTGGTCAAGACCTCTTGCGTCACTTTTTAACGCACTGGGTACCCTTTAGCGTCGTATTTGCATGTGTAGGACTCCGGGTCAAGTTAGCAAATAAACATGCAACAACCAGTTACATTTAAAACTAGTGGTTAATGCTGTGAAACAATGCAATTTGGTTAGGTTTAGCTACCAAAACTACTTGGTTAGGTTTAGGAAAACATCGTGGTTTGGGTTAAAGACACAAGTTACGTAGGTTAAGTGACATTATGTACATAAGTAAAAACTAAAAAGTTGACTTTTTGTTTCACACTGGAAATGAACACCAGTCTGCTAGGTGAAGGTCCAGTTTTTGACCAACCCATCCACCTCCTTACAAAGACTTTTCAGTCATTTATAATAGGCCTACTTTTAGCGTTGAAATCTGACGCTAAAGGGCTTTCCGCAGTGCATTGAACTATAATGCTAGAAGTTGCCATGTGAGTTGGTATCACCAACCGAAGGTGACAAAGCTTAGGTATATGACGCCCTTGGAATGAGAACGGCTGGAATGTCCGGTTAGTTAGACAACACTCTGTCAGCCCATGAAATGGAGGCTACAGTGAAAGGTTGATTACTTGGTTTCTTTGTCTGTAGCCTACTGGCTGCCTTTCTGCTGTTGTCCATCAAACAGAGACACAGACAGAACCCTCCGGCTGGCTGAAATGAAAAGGATAATTTAGCCCAAAAAACATGTTAACATTACTATTGACAAAAAGGGATGACTAAATGTGATTTCAGACTTTGAATGTACAATAATGTCATCAGGGTTATTGGGCTTGAATACTTCAAGTGTATTACAGAAAGCCTGCATTACAAAATGGACATTGAGTTTGAAAGATATTTACGAAGCAGGTCTGATGAAACATACTATTGAGTTGCATTATGGGAAATGTAGGCTTAAGCGTTTTTAAAGGTTGACATTCACTAAAGGCTAAATATAAGTATATCAGAGCCTCAGCTGCTTCAATTTTGACCATTCTTCTTTTAATCTGTTTAAACCATAGACATAATATAGAAATATTATCTATATTATGTCTATGTAGGGAACCCCTTGGAATTGGCCATTAAGTGTGCATGCACATATTGGTGGATGTGTTTGTCCCCTGAAGCATCTTATAGTTTGTTTTGACTTTGACATTTACATTTATTCATTTAGCTGACACTTTCATCCAAAGCGACTTACAATTGCTATATGTCAGAGGTCGTGCGCCTCTGGAGGAACTAGGGGTTAAGTGTCTTGCTCAGGGACACACTGGTTCTCAGAGTGGATTTGAACACAGGTCTCTCACACCAAAAGCATGTGTCTTTTCCACTGCGCCATCACTATCCCCATTTAGATTCTGTATTTGGAGCTGAGTGGAGCTCACTTTCTTGCTCAAGAGCACTTTAGCTTAGCAAATTCACCTGCTAGCTCCAACTGAAAGATCACGCTATGGCTCTCTGATGTCCCTTGTGCTTGCAGAGATGACGTCTTTAGAAATAGGGATAATTCAGTGTCAAATCCTCTCCCCCTTAAATGGTCCATAATGCAGATGGATAGCTGGAATCACAAGGGTACTCGGGGTAAAAGTTTTGCAGGGCTTGGTCCATGTTTGAAGTTCAATACTAAGCTTACTTTGCCCCCTACCGACGATAAGAGGGGTCATTTCCCCTCGCGTAATCACCGCCTCACCGATAGGGGCGATAGGGGGCCTACGTCGCTCTTCCCAGTTTACCGTGTAGTGCTTCCGCCACCACAGGAGAGAGAACAACCGACCGGTGCCAGATCAAAATACAAACAATGGGCAAGAAGCACAAGAAGCACAAGTCCGAAAACACGGATATGAAGGTATTTTTTTTTTCAGATAGTTCAAGCGTTTGTCCACTTGGACTATCTGCTGATTTGTCTTTAAACACAGAGGCTTGGATCCACGGTTTCGCGCGTGTTAGCACGACCATAGTCCTAACCTAACGTTAGCTGATTAGCTATCGTAACTGCTGACCTTAAGCTATCTACCAGACTGGTTTAGCTGTCACAATGTGGTTCGAATACAAGCTCAGCGATTTGAAATTACAAAACAACATGGACTATAGCTTCACTACAACGCCTGCCGGGTAAGCTAGCGTTAGCAACTCACTGTTATTGTTTTTATTGCCTGTGATATCTGCAGAGTACGGCGAGAGACCGCTGAAGCTTGTGTTGAAAGTGTCTGGAAACGAAGTGACGACGGGAAGCTCAAGCCTGGATACGTTTTACGACGAACAGCCGGCAGACAAACCCAAGGACAAGAAGAAGAAAAAGAAGAAGGATAAAGAGAGGAGCTTTGGGTCGCCAGAGGATGACAGAGGAAAGAAAAAGGTAACGTCGCTTAAAATCCTAATGTTATCCCCTTCTTCTAGGTGGGATAGTAAAATGGGGAGTAGTTAGTTTACATGGATTGTCCGCATGCTAGATGCAATGTTTGTTTTGTACAGATGACAAAGAAGAAAAAAGGACAGGATGCAGATGGAGATGATGACCAGAGCAGAACTCCTATACGTTCAGAGTTGGATAAACTGGAAGGTAGACCCAAATTCCCTCTTGTTTGCAATTTATACCCACACTTTCTCTCAACTCTGTCCTTAATGCTTTGTTATTCTTCCCAGCAGAAAAGGAGCAGACTCCTCTGCAGGAAGCTCTGAACCAGCTCATCAGGCAGCTCCAAAGGTAGGCAGCCTGGATCATTTATTGATGTGAAATAATTGTGAATCTGTTTGTTAGTTTATTAGCTGTTGCACATTCAGCAGCAAGTCTCCTCACAGTGCTTATGTGTGTGCATGCGTGTTTTTTTTTTTTTCTCGCTTTAGGAAAGATCCCAGTGCATTCTTCTCGTTTCCGGTGACAGACTTTATTGCTCCTGGCTACTCTGCGATTATCAAACGGCCTATGGACTTCAGTACAATGAAGGACAAAGTAAAGAAAGAGTACTACCAGTCGCTGGATGAACTCAAGGTATCTGTCTTTATCACACACGGGTGTATTATTGCATGCTACGTAAACACACAGCGGGATAAACCAAAATGACAAACGTCGCCAGAGGCAGATCATATTAGCCTTTGCTTATTCACATTAATTCCATGATTAAGTTGAGACAATCCGAAATGAAACTTAGTCTGTTTTATTATTGATGATAGCAAAAATAAAGAAAAACTTTTAACTGCGAGAACGCGACTCCTGAAATTGATGTGACACGATCAGCTAGAGAAGCCGACTCTCCATTGGAGACCACAGAAACACTCGTCCCACTTGTGGTTGTAAATTTGTGTTACTGAGTCAGACCTGTGTCTGTACTCAGCTAAAGATTAAAAGAACTATGACTCTGTAACACAACTTCTGTCTCCAGCAGAGAGATGTCTTCTCTCTAGCTGATCGCGTCGCTTCAATTTCAAGAGTCGAATTCTCCCAGTTAAAAATGTTTTATTTGTACCATCATCAATAATTTAAGATGATCAACTTTGTAGTTTGAATCAGGACCCTCAATATTTGGATCAGGTAACTCATGAAAAATAAGGTTTGTCAGATTTAGTAGTGGGGCTGTCTGTAGGTGAAGTAATTTCCACCGCGGCAATACGTTGGGGCTCAACAGCGCGGTATTATCGCATTTTTCATCAATGAAGTAATATAGCAGAGTAACAGTGTCTGTATCTGTCACCTCACTGCACAGCGAGCCGCTAACAGCAAGATTTATGGTCTGAGCAAGCTAGCTGCTGCGTGCTAGTCAACAACATTGCCAAGCGAACTCCTTTTTGTAGTTTGACCGTGTCGTTTTCAGACGTAGCTATATTGTTACCTTCAGGCACGTCTATCAAGTCAGTTTACAAACCGCAGCAACGCGCGCGCGCGCGCACACAGTGTGGAGCAGAACGGGCTGTCCACAACTAACCACTGCGCTGTACTAACGTTATAACTAAATTTCCACAGAAAGCAACATGAAAAACAGCTGCAGGCTTCAGACACACTACGCTCCTTAGTTAGCGAGATTCAAATGAGGCTTACTGTCCACAATTTCTCTCGACTGTCCCTCAGGACAACATCGCCGAGCGTGCCAGCCACATTAACTGCGCAATATGCTAACGCAAAGTTAGCTAACCTTTCAAATAAACAGTAGAACAACACAACAGCTTCAGAGGTTGTAGTCGGGTCACGTACAGCCCGTGGCGATCCGTCGTTGAGCCGTTACAGAGCTTGTTACGGTTGTGGAACTTTTGAAGCACTCATTTATTAATTTAACACGCCCTGAAGTGTACAGTATGAAGATTGCGGTTGTTGCAGTGCTTGCCATCCTCCGGGGTAGGATTGACCAATAGCGCGGTATTTCAATTTAGTGGTTATCGCCCTATGTAGTAGTCTACAGTAGTCCAAGCGGGGTCTGAGGACCCCCAGGGGTCCTTGAGAGGGTTCCAGGGGGTCCCCAGCAAAAAGGGAAGTTATTTATTTTCATTATAATTCCGTCCATAAGTAACACAATGATAGAATGTGCGACTATTTTGGTCATAAGGTTTCATACAGTTTATGTAATAAAATATCTATAAAGCAAAAATCCTATTAGATGGGGCACCCTGAGACTATAGCTTCCTGTTATTTCAATGCATAAGATAAACATTAATCAATATTTAGCTAAATAGAAGTATGGGATCGGACTTGATATTAGCAGATACCGAAATTTTAAAGGACTTGGATTGGGGACAAAAAAAAACTTATGAATATCCCTGGAAATAACTTGGAAGATGATCATGCTAGATCAATGTCAAAGTAAGAGCACAATAAAGCAAAAAACGCCAGATTTCGCCCTCATAACTGTAGCATGTGCCAAGCCATAAGGTTTGTCATGGGACCAGAATTTTATACACTCCTCAATTCATTTTGATTCATACGTTCTTTTGTTATGTCGTAAAGGGTTGATGTTAGTGTTGTTTTGATGCAGGTGGAGGTGTTTCAGGATCATGTGTGAAAATGCCATGATTTACAACAAACCTGAGACGATTTACCATAAAGCAGCTCGAAAACTGTTACACTCTGGAATGAAGATCTTAAACAGGTTATGAAACTGAATGTGATAATGGCAATATTACGACTTGTGACATCATACCGTTACACAGCGCAACAACCTGCATGGTGAAAGAGAAGGTAACCTTGCTACTGGCTATGCAGTGGAGGAGTTACTTACAAAAAGGGGAGCGACTGTAGTGTGGATGTGTTTTGGTTACAAAAGATCAGATGTACAACAAACCACAATAATACGCATTATGTGCAAGAAGTAACAACAAAGGCGGCGGCACACAACAAAGTTATTTCACCACCTCAAGCAGAAGCACCGTTGAGTTGATGAGAAATATTTTCAGTATTTTGTGATATCGTCAAGAATATATTATCGCAGAAACACCCTGAAATATCGTGATCTTATTTCAGGCCTTTCACCATTCCTAATCAGTATCCAGTGATAATTAGATGTACAGCAACACCCGACCTTCAACAGAAACTTCTTTAAACCTACATGGTATTTGCTGGGCATATGTAAATCTTCCTGTTCTCTGAAACAAGCTATCTGCCTCAAGATGTCGTTATTCAACTTTTTATACTAATTAAACAAAGAGCAACATTGATGTTTTTGCTAAATTTCATATGAATCACTGGAACAAAGTTAAATGACTTTGCTCTTGCTATAATACGACAGACGGGGGCAGCAGATTAGCCTCAAATTGTTCTCAGAATGATGGC